TCTCAGCTCTGTGTGAAAGCCGCGTATGGGTAAGGTGCCGGTCGCTTTGCGTTACGTTGCGCAATCGTATCCGTGAAACTCGACCGAACAATAGCTGCCTTACTAACAATGGAACTATAACTGGTAAGCGGTACTGCAAAAAATAACTGATCACCTACTGCTTCCCATTCAAAAACAGCGAACCCATGAATGAAGACAATTTCTCGTCGCTCTCAATACTGGGTCTTATGTTCAGGCTCACTTATCTCTGGTTGGTGAGCAGACCAAAGAAATAAAAGAAGTTCATTGTTGGAGATTTCAGAATCTTTGAAAATGCTGTAACCCCACAGCATGTACCAAAATCGATGGCCTACACACAAGGGTTTTTCATTCAGCTACTTCGATCCAATGCACCAATGGATGAGGTTAAATATTTGGCTGTATTCTTGAACTTTCTGGTTCACGTACTTCTTATGACCTCGCCCCGGAATGGACATCATCCCTGACAATCTGCTTAACCCTCATATGGCATAAGTTGAACTCCTATAACCTAACAGTAGCGTGACAAATGGTCCCAGGCCAACGCAGCGATGCGAACGAATCCCCGATTTCGGTGATCGATTACGGTAACCAAGATGAAAGGCGCCGAAACACGTCGCTAACGTCAACGCCGATCGCATTACGGTAGGCAAGCTCGTTAAATTTTCAAAAATGATACTATGTAGTAGTTTGAATTTTAGAAAGTGAGTTTTTTACTTTTAAAAAATGCATCTTTTCGGCTTTGTTTATTGGTACAGTTGACAAAAAATTGCTCTCGTGTGGGAGCCCAAATTCGAAGTTAAATCAATGAAGTATTGGTTAGATGCACAAAATTCTTTCGATTCACTTCAAAATCCCGCTTCGCTTTCTTTGCATTTGAGCCGACATCAATAGGCAGACATTTATCAAGGAAAGGCAGATTTCGCTTGGATTCTTTGTAGAATTAAGCGGCCCAGACCCAAGAACCTTTGCGGTTTTTAGGTTTTTTCTCTTTTTCTCAAAAAAAAAAGTTATCATCATTCCAAAAGAACGATGAGATCGGGAATATGGAAAGATTGTTGTAAAGTTCGGGCACAATTTCCTAGCCATGCCGCTACCGCAGTCATGATTACCGTGGTGAATTGTAATTAGTGAGCAAAAGACTTCCTCTACCATCAATTTTATAAGAGTAGAACTATTTTGTGCTTATTTATTCAACCGGAGTATTTTTGTTTTCGTGACTTTAATTACTATTACAGTTTTATTTACAATATTATTTTCTATGTTGTTCCAGTATTTGTTTACTCATTCGGTTATTTTTTATATCAATGGAAGCATCATCATGTATGTACTTTGCCGTTTTGTTGTTTCCACTCATTCGAACCCGAATGCTCTGTCAACCATCGCAGATATGGGCACTGATCAGTTTACTACAGGTACGAATGGGCTTCCTCTCGACGCTCTCACAAATACTCGGTGTTGGTCGGAGGCAAGTAAACGTGATCGTTGTTGGGTTGGATAATTCTGGAAAGGTCAGTCGACACTTCGTAGAAAATCAGTGAATAAAAACATTGTTTACTGATTTTTTTTTGTTTTTTTTTTTTTTTGTCGGAGCAAGAACAGCAGAAATGGAAAAATCGTTGCGATACAAAATATTGTTTGTCGGCATACGCCATGTTTCTGACATCCAGTCCTGAGATTGTGAAAGGAATCTTTGCTTACTTGTTGACATTCATCTATCGTTCAAATATTATAAAAAGGCCCTAAGTCTGCCCTATTTCAAAAAGGGGTGAAGCAGTAAGGATCCACTGTACAGCTGGATGTTCATGAGTTGAGTTCTTGGCTCGAAGAAGAAGAAGAAAAGAACAGCCACAA